CTTAACCCCTATCTGTGTCAAAGCTCTGTGCTTGACAGAACAACCATCCACTCGGACCACCTCCTCAACGATGGTTAAGAAAAATAGTCAAATAAAATGTGTAAGGATTTAGTTTCCTACAATGTGGCATAACCATTTTGGACAACAGTTTATGTCCAAAGAAATGTGCTTTGCAGGAGATATTATTATTATTATTCATTTATCGCTCATAAAGAAATATGTTGGAAACAATGAATGCCTCGAGTTTCCGGCATTGCTGGGACTTCCTATCATCAGATAGCGGTTACATCATAAATGACTTTCAGAATTAGGAGTGAGAGTCAAGAACAGTGAGATGAGAGCAGTGATTTGAAACTGAGGGTGAAGGTCTGCGATGTGAACACAGCAGGACCCTCTACTGTTCAGCACTCCGTGTTTAAAGCCTGTCTGCTCTTTGACTCACTTTTCTGGGTCATTAAGTCCTGCTGCTGGCCTGATGAAGAGGGGCCAGACGCCATGTCGTCTCTAGAGAGGAGAGCGTCCATCTCTACAAGCGTTGTCCTCAGTTGGACACCCGTGGGACCCTCTCAAACTGGCCAGGGACGTTCTAATTATTTATTTTTTTGGACACAGCTCGTATCATTTTAATGGGAGCCATTTAATTCCAGGCCAACCTTGTCATGTGACAGGCAACTCTTCATTCTTAAGATTGAATTTTTGTTCCCGTGATGATAGCCTCCACTAACTGCTCTTGTCCCTGGACAGCACTGACAAATTCCCACAGATGATTGTTCGTTGGTAACTTGCAGGTTGTGCGTTGAATATTTTCACCCTGAGAAAATGTCTGCATCATAAAAGATCCAGTAAAAGGGTTTAGATTATTTTGTCAAATGCAACATTGTCAAACCCAAACTGTGAAAACAAAGTGTGCAAAAATACAGGTCTTTCCATATACCATGTAGTATATTTAAAATAAAATACATTACTATTTTGATAATAAACCAATACATTTGGGATGATAACATAACAAACATACCTTTCACCATTTTGTAGTTTCAACTTCTAAAATGTATGGATTTACATATTTATTTCAGTTTTTAGTCAAATCCTTTCATGGTACCCAGAGGATGAACCATAATGACTTTGGTGATCCCCTGAATACTCCTCTGCACACATTTTGGTTTTAGACTGTTGCCCATTTAAATCAAGAGATTTCAAGTTTTGACTTTCAAGCAATTGGGATGATTCTTATGCATTTTTAACCTTTTCCTGACATATTGTAAATTAAACAGTACACTTATTAAATGAAGGAATATTATGCAGATGAATTGACCTAATTAAGGACCTTCATTTACATGCAGTTGCTCTCTCAGACACTTCTGTACCTCACATTGCTCACAGTTCAATGCAGAATCGTGTGTGTGTGCCCGTGTGTTTACTTAGGTGCTATCTACCCCTATGACCCTTGTGTACGGTGGTTGAGTGTAGAGTATGAAACCCACAGAGAGATTATCCCCGCTGCATCAGACTGAATTACCATCTCCTCTCACATCTGGGCTTTTGTTCCCCTATTTGGCAGCAGCAGCAGAAATGATTGCACCTTTATTCACCCCTCCTCCCTTCTCTTAACAGGACAAGTGGGAGGTTAAAAAAGCTTCCTTTTGTTATTCCAAACAAAGACTGTTTAATAGTTTGGAAATCTTATATAGAGTGCTGAGTGACTGGGGAAAGGGCAAAAGTTCATTCAGCATCACCGGGACATTTGTTTTGTTATTTAGTGTTCCCAGTCTGAACCTGAAAACAGACTGTTCATGGTTTGGGGCTCAGAAGGAGAGAAGTGTAACATACAGTATCAGCCGAAATCATGCTGTAACCAAAGATCTAATATGTTACTAAACACGTGTACCCAAGTACAATGTAAGATACTGCATGAGTGTATTTGTTATACTTTCAAATGCCACGCCACAACATTTCAGAGGCAATGATTCTACTTTGTACTCCACCTCACTGCATTTGTTTGAAAATAACAACTTTTTTTTTCAATTTAACATTTGATATCATTTAAAAAATCTAAAACATGATTAGATTATAAAATACAAATAGTGTACCTTTTTTAATTTAATTAGTGAAATGACTAATGACAATACAGATTAAAACCGTAATGGGAAAACACATAAAAGAAGATGATACCAGTGTATTATTAAAGATTGAACTACCAAAAAGTATACTGTGGCATTCAAGTCCTTTACACATTATTGCATCAACCATATTGATTCAACAATTATGATACAATTCTAAAATATATGTATTTTTATTTTGAACTACTACTGCTTGATGAGGAGTTCACTTTTTATGTAGTATATTTTGATCCAATTACTTTAGTTTATTTATCAAATGTTTACTCCTCCTTGTGTCAGATGTCTAAAAAGTACTTTACGTGATTACCTGACTCCAAACAAATGATAGTAATCATTTGTTTATCAACAGAAAATAGATTAAAAAAAGTAAAGTCATCAATTAAGATCTGTTTCGTGCAAAATGCCAACTATTGTGTGGCCCCTTTATTTTTATTCCACACTATTATTAATGTATAGTTTTTTCATTGTATGTTGTGACAAACTAACAATTTTAAGTTGTCACTTCAAGATGTGAAATCTTTGTTTCCTTATTGCTTTTTAGATCAAACAATGAATGGATAAATGAAAGAACTAAAATAAAAGGTAATTATTTAATTAGCTGCAGCACGAGTGTGATTGAAGTTAGTTGCCCTGTGACTAATTGAGAAGTGTTTCCGGTGTTTGAGCAACATGAATCTGTATGAAACAGGCGAGCTGAAGACAGTCTGATGCAGCAGAGAACATGTGTACAGTGTGTCGTGATTTAACATCTCCTGTTAAACTAACTCGTCCAGTTGCGTTTAGCCTTTAATTATGCTTCATAGATTTCCTGCTGATGAACAGGCAGAGAATTAACAGTAGACGGGGCTAATTCACAGCTGCTGCTCCCCGCCACCCACATGCCGTTATTGCTGTACAAGTGGACCGCTGAGAGCAGGGTGCACTTAGCTACACAAACATTAGTATTAACGATTGGGCTGCCAGTTTGGAATTAGTGACAAACTGCAGACGGGCAAAAATTGGAGTCCGAAACCAATCAGGAAGTTAATGAGGAGAAAAATGACTCTGCTGGCCCCCTCCCACCTCCACTGCTGAGGAGCAGGGAGAGAGAGAGGGGGGGGGGGGGTGTTGAGGAAGCATGAGGGCGGCAAATCGACATGCCAGAGGATTCTGGGTAACACTGCTCATGGTGTAATGTTATTCTGAGTAAACGTATATACAATATACATTTTTCAGATTTTGCATCGCATAAAATGGTTAAGTAGGCCCTCACGTGCTTTTTGGCGTTCTCCCTTTCCTGTACTGTGTTATATAGGTTTGTGTGCATGTAAATGGTCTGCAAAGACTCAAATCCCACATTTCCCTCCAGAGAGATAATGGAGAAGCGCCACTCATAATGCCCTGTTTCTCTTTAAATGTCTTTTTATAACTTAACTGTATCGCTTTTTGTCATTGTGTAAAAAAGGTGCCTGATGAGTTTGCATCCCTTGCATCTCTAAACTCTTGCCACAGTTGGTTTGTAGCAAGCTCCTTTGCTTAATGGAAATATATATATTTTTTTAATATATATAAGAAAATGAGTTTGTTCAAGTTTTGTTTTGGTATTTAATTTCAGGTATTGTGTTGGCAATGACTAAGATACCACAGTAGAAGAACAAAAATAGCTGAGCGGCAAAACTGGAGTCCGGTTTCTAATTGAAATGGGTGGGATGCCATCCAGGAGCTCCCGTTAAACACAAAGATCTTCTGTTTGTGTTCAGTGTCTCCCCCTTTTCGCTGATTCAATCTGCTATAAATCCTGAAGAATGATTTGACTGTGCGGTCATATTTATATCAGGTAAATACAGAGAGGGTCATTCACTCTGCAGCTTCCATCTGTCTCTCTCTGTAGTATTTCTTCTCTCCTTTTTATTTTCTCGCCTTGCAGTACAAAGATATCTTTTATTTGATGTGTGCTGCTGTGCTGTCTACCCGAGGCAATATATATTTGTCATATTAATGACTTTGAGGAGTATCCAAGAAACAAGATTTGTAGCTCAATACCGGAAAGAGAAGTGAGAGATTTGAGCTGTATTTACTTTTCAAATACATAAACATACTTTACCCAGTCATTCTGAGAAGTAGATATTCTACCAGAAGAAATATTTAAAGGGGCCCTATTATGCTTTTCGGGTTTTCCGTTTCCTGTAGTGTGTTATAAAGGTATTTGTGCATGTAAATGGTTCCAAACGTTTCTCTCCCACACACTCCCCTGCTGCCTGAAACGCCTCCTTTGTTTACGTCCGTAACATAGTGACATCATTGTAACACATCCTCTTCTATTTGGCTTGCAACATTGTATGTAATATAGGCTAAGGGGCAGGACATCTCTAAGCGGTTGACCAATCAGAGCAGACTGGGCTCTGGTTTCAGACAGAGGGTAAAAAGAGGTGCTGCAGCACAGGCAGTGTCTCTTTTCACCAGTGGTGAACCGTGTCTATCACAACTGGACCTTCTGTAGACACACACAACCCCGCCGCCGGCAGAACCTGCTTAGAGAGGTTCTGCCCTTAGCCCTATCACGTACAATGCATTGGAGCGCTAGCCAATAGAAGCGCGAGTATGATATAAAGATGTCACTATGTTACAGAAGTAAACAAGGATTACAATAGAGGCGTTTCAGGCAGGGGGGGAGTGTGTGGGAGAGAAACTCTGGCATGAACTTTGGGATTAGAGTCTTTGAAGACAATTTACATGCACGCAAGAATATATGATACACTACTGGAAAGGCAAAGACCCCAAAAAGCATTATAGGGCCCCTTGTATTTATAGTTATTACAATATTGTTGATATCGTCACAGTTAACAGTTTTTCATCATTATAACCAAAATGAACCCTGCCCTCCTGTTTGACTCGTCCCTGCAGCCTTCTCCCCCGGCGGCGCCCCCCCCCCCCGGCGGCGCCCCCCCCGGGCACAGCTCCGCCCTGCCCTGCAGGTCCATCAGCACCCTGGGTAACTCTGACATCAACGAGTGTGAGGTCGGCAACGAGACACCCAACTTAACCGTGGACTCCATCGTCGATGGTGACGCCGGCAAGTAAAAGAAGATAAGGATGACCTACCATGAAAAAAAGGATTATGAGATTATTTAAGCAAAAAGAACTCATCGTTCACTGTTGCTGCAGGTTGTTTGCTTCTGTCCAGGAGGTATATTGCATACGGTCGTTGAAATCACACATTGTTTGTGGATTTTAGCTCTTTTTCTTGGTGAAAGCCAGTTCATCAGCACAGAAAGTTAGAAAAAACAATACAACGTGCAAATATCTGCAAAGCACACATTTTGGCTGTTAATGAACGAGCTATTGACAATCAGAAAGAAGGGTTAGTGTTTTCTACAATACATTGTTCAAGCCTTGATTGATTCCTTGAATAGGTTTTTAAATATTTTGTTTAAGATGTTTTTTATCCCACACTACAAAAACTAATATAATCTGATGGCTCTTTCTTCAGAACAAACGCCTTGATGCCTTTTTATGAAAACAATTGAATTTGACCATATAAACCAAAACCAGCTGCAATGTGCTGATCTACCAGCCCGCCCTATAAGGACTCCCAGACATATGCCGAGATATCTTTTGACACTCACCACTGTAACAGTATGTACCTTGATCAGCATCAGATCATTGCATTTATTTTCCCCCGCTATAAAAATAGTTTTCATTGCATTGAAGTTTTAGAGTAGAAAAAGAGAGAGGGATGTGGTGCGATGGGAGGAAACAGGCAGGTTAGACATGAATCATGTTTGCCTGCGTTGGCGTGTGATGAGCCCCGGCTGCTTATTTATGGCACCAATCCAGTCTATTGTATATTTAACCCCTTCAGACCTGGAGCTTTCACTATGCGCACAGGCTACTGTTTACACACTTGGTACAGCATGTAGATACAGAGGCTGAAGAGCAGTGACATGTAAGGCTGCAATAATTACATTTGTAGACTTACAACACATAACAGCCACCATTTTGATAATTAATTAATCTAAACAAATAATAATTGGTTTTAGCTTCTGAAACGTTTAATATTTGCAGATTTCTCTTGTCTTGAATTAAAGTGAATTGAATATGTTTGAGTTTTGGACTGTTCAGATCCGGGCCATGTTTCCTTTAATTAAGAAGAACACCTCCGATGAGATGTTGCCGACTTCCAGCGCCCCACTGTACTGCATATTGTTGATTTGTTTTATGTTTTATGGAGAATTACTTCCAACTGCATGCTTTGAAAGTGTTTATTTCTGTTTGTGTTCCAATAAGACAGCAACAAAAGTAATTTGGAGTCCTGGAGTTTATGTCGCTACAAGTTCTCGGGAAATAAAAACGTTCCAAAATGATGGAGTGTAAATGTGATGCTGGAAACAGCAATATAAAACAGACAGAGAAAATTACTTGTATTTTCTGTCTGCTGCGCTGTGGGAACATTCATTGGATTCTGTTGTAATCAATAACGTGACCATCTTGTTTTTTTATGAAACGCACTTACTCTTAATTTCATCCACCAGTGGTTTTAGAGAGAAGAATGTGGAGTTACCTATACGGCTTTGACATTATAAATCACCTCTTGAGACCAGATTGTACAGCAGTATCGATTGATCCTGATATATCACAGAAATTTACTGTCACTTCTGTTTTCAATTAAAGATACAATCAGTCAGATAATGACTTAATTGGATTTTACAGAAGATTGAGTTTTATTGCCCCGTGCTTTACGAGTTTAGTTAAGGAAGGCCATTTGATCACGTTTGTCAGGGGCGACTTGCTGCTGCTTGCCTTGTCCTTCTGTAGCTGCTGCCGCCGCCACCCTGCTGTACAGCGCAGGGGAGAAAGTGTCACAGGATTGGTTTTCCTTGAGCTGCCAATGCCTCCATGAATCATCCCCCCCCTCCCCATCATAGATAAAATGTGCTCGGATCCCTCCGTGACAGTGGAGTGATGGCCTCTAGATACAGAAAGGAAGTGTTTGGAGAGCCCTGATGTGGAAAGTTAGATCTTTTTTAAATTATATATACATAAAAGAGAATGCTACTCTCAGTTGTAGAGCTCACTTAGAGTAAATATGTTCTATATCATTTGACTTTCAGCTGATTATCTGATTAGTTGTGTTGTTCAGACCTTGTTATTTAGAATACTCTGCAACTCGCAAAAGTTCTCCCTCAAACGTAAGTGCTTAGATTTTTAGTAAAGCAGAAACCATGTCTGACTTATATGTTCTGTCGCATTGCTCTCTTTCCTCCAAGCGCTCTCCTTTTGTGTCCCTTCGATGGCCGACGGCCAGAACACTGCAGCTTCAGAAATGATGCAAATTAAAAAAAACAAATGTGCCTAAACAGAGGCAAATAAAGAAACATCTTCACCTACTTGACAAGAAATGGGCAGCATTTAAAAAAAACACTCACCAACGTGAGGTAAGTTTTCTAAAAGCGTTGCATGAAAGAAAAGCTGCAAATAAGAAATGCTGCAAGAAGCTCAAAACGGTGACAGGGACACAACATATTATGTACACAGCTGGGAATGAAGCAAAGTGTTTTTCAGTATATTTGAAATGGCTAGGTCAGCTAGCTTACAGCAGATCTTCAATAATATCGGAAAAAGATGATGCGATCACATTGTTAAAATAAGACCAGAACGTCAACAAGTGCTCCGGGCCCAGCTGTGGGCATCACTTTTCAGTGTTGCACTTTTATTTATTTGCATGGTTATTTAACTGCAGCACGCGTCTCCTAATGGAGACGTGTTGACCGTTATAATGCGATACCTGTGTATTAACTGGGTACCGACCACTACTGTGTATTCAAATCTAATGAGTCAAAATGTACACTTATCCTAAAGTTAAACATGAAATAACTTAGATGAAGATACAATCCAAAAAGGCAAACAAACTGTTAAAAGAAATAATGGAATTTTCAATGATATAAAGTCAACGAATAAATTAATCTGGGGTTAAAACCATTTTATAAGTTGGAAATATACTTTTTCATTGGTACAATTTTGGTTTCATGCCACTTCCACCCAACTTCAGTCCCCTTTCTTCTCACAGTAAGTGCTATGTCTAAACTTGAGACATTTTAAACATTTTGTAATAGACCGCCTGAATGTTTTACAAAAGTTTGTGCTGTCTGACATTACTTGAAAGACATTATCATACTTAACAGAGTATTCATTCTTTTTCCCAGCCGAACTAGCCCTTTGGTATTTGTTTTACTTTAAAGGTGGATGTGTTTGTTGGTAGGAGGATCTGGGGCTGTCTGAAGGACAGGCAGAGCACCGGTCATAAACGTCCAGCCCTGAGAGCCAAGCACCAATAAACAGGCCGGAGTAGACGGACTAAACCGCTGTGCATCCACCACTAATCTGAGGACGTTACCCATCATTTGTCTTTACACCTGCAGGGAGAACAGCACGGGAGGACACACTCTTCTCCACAAGTGGATCAGAGGCATACATTCAGGAGTTAGAAATGGATAAAGTAAAAATTGTATGTAGTATTTATACATGAGCCCTGTTTAAAGAAGAAACGAAAGAATTGCCAATTGTGAGTGTTAAAATGCTTATTAATTTAAGTAACATTACTCAGCATTGAAAATGTTCCTTATCAATATGTAATCAGGAAAATGAACTAGTATCTAATTACGATTCTAAATAAAATACTTTTGCCTGTAATATATAATTTTTAAACTGTTTTGTTTAAACTTACTATGATGTGACTTGCTCCATAGCTGCTGCTATCCAATCAGAAGACCATAACTTCATCTTACAGTATGTCTCCTTGTCGTCATTTCACGATACAGTTGTGGCCCAGGAAGGGAAAAATACAAAACAATAAAATGAATTAGTCATTTTACTTTAGAACTGAAAAGACAAAAGATAGTTGTTTAAAAGTAGCCATTTACGTATTTATCTACGCTGGGGAACTGATTTTGATAATATTTTACCTTTTTTATTTATAATATTGTTCAACTAAACTATCTTTCACAATAATGAAACTCCTCATCTCACCAACTTGAAATAGGCTATACTGAAAAAACTGAAACGTTGACTTTAATTAAATGTATTATGTCAACAAATGTCACATAACTGTACTAGTAGACTAGTAACATCTGTGGATGTGTGACATTTGTTTCAGTTTTTTCAGTGTAGTTTCAATAAAAATAAAAACACCTTGTCTTCAATTAATTAACTAATATTTGTTCTGTCATTTATCTGTGTTTAATTTTATATTTATATTTCTAGGAATAATTCTTAAACATTGCTTTGTGGTGCTGCCAAATGATAAAGGACTATTCATTCATTTTCTTTTATAATAATAATAATAATTGTATAGGCGTTATATTCCATATGGATTCCCATCATTCATTCCAATTTAATCAAAAATGTATTACATTTCATGATATGGTATTAAAGTAAAAGTATAATGATAACCTACATTTTTCAGGATATGTTTGTAACCTTGGCAATCCTTTTAATGTGATATTTGCATTACTTTATTTTAACAGTAAAACAAATTAATCTTTGATAGATATACATATTGTAATTGTTTAACAATATTAAAAGTTGCTAATTTTACACAATTGTCTTTACATTCCTTACTATCTTTTAACAACACATGTAATATTCATGTTTCTCCAATCACTTCTTTGGATGTCAAAATCAAAAACACACTATTGGAATAGCTGATACATTTAGTGCTCATACGGTTGCTCCAACTTATTTTGTAGTATCCTAAAAAAGCCACAGACTTTTCCTTTTTTCCCTGAGGACTGATGCGTGCTGACGGATGTTCTCACTAATTCAGACGTCCGGCTAATTCCTCAGTGAGGAGCTCGGTGTCCCGCCTCCCTGGGGAGACTTAAATCAGCGTTCCTGTGACAGGACTTCTGAGTGGCAGCTACGCCCCCAATCAGCACCTCATAATAACCCCACTCAGCAGAGGTCAGCCCCGCCCCTGCTCCTGGAGAGGGGCCATGCTGTAGGAGCTAACATTAACATGGGGTCCAAGATGTGAAAGGGTGATATGTTAAGTGAATTGCACAAACAGATTCTTTGAGCTTTGACATTTTTTGAAATGTCTGTTCAGATTTCAACATCTCAGTTTCTATTACATTTGCTTATCAACACCAAACGCCAAGTACAGCTGAAGCTATGGGAAATTGTTATTTGTGTTTGGTGATAAATCAAATTGATGTTTTGACCTGATGATGTCGCTGGATTCCTCCTAAAGGGGAAGGTGTTTTTGCCAAATGTTGTTCCAATTCATTCAGTGGTTAAGATATAACATCGTAAAGCATTAAAAGAAGTCGAGATGATTTAAGTCAGTGTGATTCATCGTTTAGGGACCATGACATTTTGTCCAATTTCAGTATGGTCTGAAATAGTGGAAGTAAATCAGGGGACACTGGTGTGTCCAATTTAAAATCATGACCCTTTTTTACGTCTAGTGGGGTGACCCATGACCTTTGATTGGGAATGTAATCACCAAGTCAATGGTATACAAATCTGAAAATATGTCATTTTATGAAGTTGCACCTATAGGCATTCTGTTTCCTGAAGTTATAAAATATTTTAAAAATATTATAATGTGACATGTTTCCTTGAAAGGAATTTTTAATTTCAATGAGATTTCCTCATTGAGGATTTATTATTATTTATTATTCTATTAGTGGGGTTCTACATTAACGTTAAGTTATGACTGTGATTCCGGCTAAGACCCCAGTAATGTTGAACAGATAATACGATTTTTAAAAACGTTTTACATTGTTTTCTTTGGTCCAAACTAGGACATCTCCAAACTCACGAAAGTATGAAGTGTTTTCAAATGTGTTGCAGATTATTCATGTTCCCCAGAGGATACATCATCATGACGTTGGTGATCCACAGACTTTCTCTGTGGCGCCACCATGAGGTTGTTGTTGGTTGGATGGTTATACAAATATCCATCTAAAAATATATTGTCTAATAATAACAAAATATTATTAATATATATTATTAGATATTATATTCCATTATTATTATATTTGGTTTGAAATTCAAATATGTACATGTGTTTTTCAACGTTTTTTCTATTATATTTTCAGGTGGCACATATCTGTTTGTTTTTTGTGTTTTCAAAACATATTTTATTTATTTATTTAACCCGTATGTTATGTAATAGACTGTAGGCCTACTGTGCTCAGCCTCACTATGTAACGTTTATAAAGAATATGTATTTTCCTCAGAATTGATTCAGCTATCAAATGCACATGAGATATTCAAATAACCATTCCTGCATCTTCATTATGCATCAAAATACAAAATAGAGAAATCAGACGTTATGCCAATAACAATACTTCCTGCCGTGTAAACTTTTATTCCGGTCCGTGTTTTGGTCTTTTATCAACGAACAACATGAATAAATTTATTACGCGTTGTGGTCCAGGCCTCCCACTCCCCACAAATCTACTCGGCCGGCACAAACTGCAAAGCCACTCTCGTCACCTTGAAATTTCCTCTGCTATTTTCCAATTAAAAGCTTAATAGCCCTGGAGACGGGCTTCATGTGGGGAAGTTTACCATGCTCTTATTCTCTGTAAGCCGCGCCAGGCTCGGATCCCATTATTTGCTTGAATAAACCTTTTTTACGGTCAGAAATGGGCCCCGGCTTTGTCCGGTGTTATGTTTCAATGCCCTCTATTAGTCCAGCAGAAGGGACATATCAGCATCCTCAACATAGTTCCCAAAGGGCTTTTTATACATGTAGAGACCTAATCATCTAAGTTATGTACGATTGTGTAAAAGGTGCGAGAAGCTGCGAGCACTTTGTCGAATTAAGTCGTATAGCCTGCAGGCAACAGGGAGGGGCATAAACAAGTCCTGACTCTTAAAATCCTAATTAATTTATAGGAAGAGTCGAATGCTGATGTTAGGTCGTAATAATGAACATATTTGGGGAAATGCATATCTATAGAGTTTTGACAGCTTGTCATATGTTTTGCAGTTGAGTTTTGAGAACAACATTTTTTCAATGTAGATTTAAAATCATGATGCAACTTAAAAAGGCATTTACTTGTGCAATTAGTATTTTAATGGGGTTTGTTTTATGCAAGGACAGTTTTCATCCTTATTGTTGCCGGCTGGAATATTAATGTTGATATTCAGTTGAGTGCTATTGATGCAGTTCATTCATGTAGTGCTTTTATTTTTGCATTAACTCATGCACTTTTTGTTTTACTTTGCATTGTAACGTACTTATAGTCTATCAAATGAAAAGGTATATTTTTGATATTCATTTGACACTTTACATGACTGTAACACATTAAAGGTATTAATATATCAAAGAAAATGTTATTTGTATGTTAAATTGTTAAAACTGAAATGATAGCCATATTAAAAAATAACTATGAGTGTCACTAAGAGTTGTTTATTTTGTACAGATGTAAAATGTAAATTTGACTTTTTTTGGGAGCATTTGTGTAGATAATGTTGCAGCTTCCCATTATATCAATCTGAAATGTGCCTTCAAATAATGTCAACTTCTTTATTACAAGCCTTGACAAGATTCTTAATACAAAGAGAATATCAGTTTCCACTGCAGAACACAATGTTATAGTCTTTAACCTATTTCTTAAGGGAAACATGATCTGATCCACATGCACTTTTGTTTCCTCCCAGCCTCACGTGGACATTTTTTGCAGCGTGCTTTGACGCGAGTGACAGCGTTTGGTTACTCGTCTCAATAAGTGCGTGTCAGCCCTGATGCATATCTGTGCTGTCAGCCGAGGGAAAGTTGGATCCTCCACAACAAGCCCACACCTCTTCTCCTCATCCTGCCATGCGTGTGGCTGAGCAGCTCCATCCAGCTCCATCTCTCTGCTGCTGACACCACTCCCCCTCCTCGCCTCTCCGCAGATGCACTTGCGCGTCCTGGAGAACACGCTCCCACGATGAATGGCTACGGGTCCCCCTACTTGTACATGGGGGCTCCGGTGTCTCAGCCCCGGGCCCCGCTGCAAAGAACCCCCAAGTGCGCGCGGTGCAGGAACCACGGCGTGCTCTCGTGGCTCAAAGGTCACAAACGCTACTGCCGCTTCAAGGACTGCACCTGCGAGAAGTGCATCCTCATCATCGAGCGGCAGCGCGTCATGGCGGCGCAGGTGGCGCTCCGCAGGCAGCAGGCCAACGAGAGTCTGGAGAGCCTCATCCCGGAGTCCCTCAGAGTGCTGCCCGGCCTCGGCATGCCCGGAGCCGGCGAGGGGAACCATGGAGCCCCGCCAAGGACAGAAGAGCTGGAGCTGAGGTGGAGCAGTATGGAGCCGGTTCATTCCGGAGCGCCGACACGCACAGCAGGTGGGAGCATAACAACCAGAGCTGCAGGAACATAGTTTGGCTAAATGTGTTTCACATTTCTGATGAGCTATTACTTTTTATTTGATGGAAGAAAATGTCAAATTAAGAAACAAATTATTAGTAATTTTAAACTGCTATGATCAGAAGGATGGCTATTACAAAAATAAATAACCTAATAATACTAATACTTCACAAAGTGCACATGTGATTGGAATAAGTGACCAATATAGGCTAGATTGTTTTTATTATGATAATTGTTTAAAGTTTTCACAAAATACGGCAGATTAAATATGTAAATCTAAGATATGTTTATTACAATGTCCCAAGATCATTATATTTCTAAATAAATAAATGTGCAGATATGAATGGGGCTGAGATTATTTCTTGTAAAAACTGCTTTTCCTTTACAATGATTCTAAAATTATAGTGTGTTGAGTGTTCAAAAACATTTTACGGTTTGATCATTGGGATACATTTAAAAGTAATATTTCAGTTACAAAGAATTCACTTAAAACAGCTCCTATAAATGTTGCTTTATGGCACCTTCGCTAAATGAAAACATTCTTTAAAAGATTTCAAGTCATGATAAGAAAGATACCACTTTACTTATTCCCCGAGGCCGAAATGATAATACAGCAGCGCACATGTATTGGTAATAAAACAGATAACTTAAATACAAATAATAATACAATAAAATAATGTTTTATTCAAATGTTGACAAAGTTAGATTAAAAAATAAATAAACAAACCTCATTTAGATTTTTGATATTAAGGTGGATTCATTTGACCTGATTGTTATTGCGTTAATTTCTTCTATTATCTTGCTTTTGATTGTTTCTATATAGCCTATTTATTAATGGAAACATGCATGTTGTTTCTATTTTATTTGACAAGGAATTATTTCCTTTATACTTGCAATATATACAACAATAATTATGTGTTTATTATTTTATAAAATCTATGTGACAGCCAATTTCAATTTATTTATTTTCACTGTATCAACTCGTAGGTTTAGCTTTGTATATTTAATTTCGGTATCGTTTGCCTTCTCTTTGTTGGTAAAAGCAAACTAGCGTTTATTTGGATTTTAATGAAAAGTAAAAATGCTCAATATTTCAGCCAAATATTCCAGTCATAGGCCTATGGTTATTTTTCTACTTGACTTTGGTGGTTTTCTGGGACACAAACATCTGGACACAAGCAGCGATCAACTGACTCCAGATCCATCACCCGGACAGGCGGAGCTGAGTGCTTTACAAGATGACAGTAATCAGCGCAGACAGCACCAATCCGATGTAATCGCCATTTCTCTCGAACGAGGTCAAGTTCAGATGAAATGTTACCGAGCAATACGCGATCTGTTTACAAAATGTGGTCAAAAGGCATCGACGGTAGATTCCTCACTGACACACAGTCAGCACTTTGTGTTAACAGCTTTAGGGAGGGGGGGGGGTGGAAAACATCCTCATCAGTCTCTGTGTTGGAGACAAGCCATTCATTGTGTGTCAAGTTTCCTCCTGAGGAGAGCTTTTGGACTTAGAGTGCAGAAAATAAATGTTTCTGAAGTCAGATAAATGCAGCTGAACTGTTATGACCCCCCTGCCCAAACTTGTCTCCTGACTCTTTGTTCTGATGTGTTGCAGAGCCGACGAATGAGGGTACTGATGAAGGGTCCGGAGGAGAGAACGGGGGGAGCTCCAGTGAGAAGGAGCAGGAGGCTGTCAGCTCCCCTGAAGGCTCCAAACCGAACTCCTGCTACACCCCGGAGCCCCCAGAGACGCCCTCCAAACCGGAGGAGAGCAGCTGCAGCCTCTCTAAAGCCGGCAGCGCTGGGAAGGAAGTGAAGACCGAGAGTCTTCACAAGCTTCCGATCAGCTCCGGAGAGCAGAGTGTGCTCATTGAAGGCCTCGCGGGCTCCATCAACCTGCCCTTCAGCCTGCGGGCCAACCGGCCGCCGCTGGACGTCCTCAAGAAGATCTTCCCCGCTCACAAGCCTCCTGTCCTGGAGCTCATCCTCAGAGGCTGCGGGGGGGATCTGGTGGGGGCCATCGAGGTGCTGCTGTCCAGCCGGGGCCCTGACGGGAGCGCGCACCCGCAGAACGACCCGCACCCTGAAACCCTGTTGCTGCCTTCAAACGGACACCTGTTCGAGCACATGGGCTCATACCACCCGGTGTCCTCCAGCGCCAAGTGGTCGGTGGGCTCTGCTTTCCGGGTCCCCGAGTCGCTCCGGTTCACAACGGACCCGGCATCGGGCGTGGTGTCCACGGGACCGCTGGGTGTCCCCATGCAACACCCGTCCTTTCCGCAGCCCACGCGCTACCCGCTCATGTTGCGCAACTCTCTGACGCGCAGCCAGGGCAGCCCCTTCGTACACAATGACGTAACTCTGTGGAATACCATGGCCCTCCAGCAGCAGTACCAGCTCCGCTCGGCGGCCCAGTACGTGTCCCCGTTCTCCCCCGCAGCCGCCTTGGGGCCCGGGGGATCAGTGTTCCGCAGCTCCGCCATCCTGCCCTCCAGACCCTCCGAGGAGCAGCGCATCAGCATCCAGGAGGAGAGCTGCACGCTGGGGCCCAAACCCGGCCTCTACTCCCCGGAGGAGGAGTACGAGGAGCGCTCCGACTCCGCAGACTCGCGCATCCTCAACTCCTCCACCTGAAGAAGCTGCGGATGGACTAACACAGCAGGGGGGGGGGGAGCCAAACATGTATTATTTTGAAAGGACATCCGGTGTGCTATAGGGTCTTTTTCTGTCTTGTTTTGAATTGAACTGTGTGAAGCAATCACCCTTTGATGAGGTGATGTTAATCCTTTTAACGTCATCCACTCATGCCCTCAAGTTGTCACGTGCCACGACCAAAAACGGATGAATGGAACAGACTCGCGCTGATTTGAAAGTTTCTCATCTATTTCCTGCAAGCATGTTTAGTACTGTGAACACTTTTGATGTAAACGATCATCAATGCATGTGAAGAGTATGCCAAATAAATCTGAGTTTTCCAAATGGACCAGATTGTTGTCTTTTAGTCACTATTACTAAGGTTTTCATTTTAAATTGGCCTAATTTATATAGACACATGTTGTATGTGTTACATTGGTCATCATTGTTTACCTGAACGTATAGCTCCACATTTATCAGCTCCAATATTTATTATTTATAATCTAAATATGATTCTGAAATTATCCTATTTGCATAATAACTACTTTATAACTTTGTGTACATTATTTGATGCCAATACTAAGTAAAAAGAGATTACAAATCTGATTTCTTTTGTATTTTTGCACTGTAGTATTTTACATAAGAACATTCAAATTCACTCCTCTGGGTTTAGGAATTGGGATGTCCTTCAAGATGAAGACGAGATCCATTTCCGGGTCACCAGACCAGATGCATGGATGGAAGATCGAGGAGGCACAACATTTAGAAATAAAAAGTGTTCTGAGAGCAACTTTTTATAATGACATGTTGTGGGCCTTTATTTAACATACAGTGTTTCAAAGGGGGAGACAGAGGAGACGACCTGCCTTATACTTCATCAGGAGTCAAACCATACTTGGCAGCGCACAATGCATATTTGTACAGCAACTTTTAGTCCAATGGAAAAGGTCAAAGGTCAGAACTGGTTTTTAACCTGAAACCCAAGCATAATATTTTGACCTTTTATCTGGAATGACCTCATTTGATATCAACAGACAGCTGCACGCCCAGGGCTCTGCATGAATTGAATGCACAGACAGAGGTCCATTGAAATAATGTATAACATTATATTACATTGCATTTAGCTGACGCTTTTATCCAAAGCGACTTACAATAAGTGCGTTCGACCAACAAGATACAAACTTGAAGAAAACAGAATCATATACATCAGGTTTCATAGAGCTAAAACATTTCAAGTGCTACTCAACTGGCTTTAGATAAGCCAGTCCTTTATTAGTATATAAGTGCTTTGTTTAGAAATTATTTTGTTAGTAATTCTATCGCTCAAAGTGGAGAAGATGTATCTATAATATAGGAAACAAAACATAATAAAGCAAATACAGTGAGCATTCCGAGCAGCTAATCAAACATTATACAACTCTCACCACAAAGCTACAATTTTACAAACTGATTTTGTTTAAAACTTTTTGAACAGTTGTCGATACAACTAATAATACAATCATATATATCTACCAGCCAAAACGATATAACCTGACCACTGCTGTGTTGGCCTGATTTCAGCTTTAAGGTTTGCCGATCTGAAGCTATGCTTTATGGAAAGTGAATTTACTGTTGTCTGACAGCATGGCTTAGCTCACTGACACATGTCCTCAGCCATATGGAGTATCTCTAAGGCAGAACCCTAAAATAAATCTATTTTCTTTATTGTCACGGTTCTTCAGTGTGGCTGCTGTTTAGGAAGTGTTTGACATTTAGTAGATTAGTTGACTTTTGAAGCAAAGAGCACCCACAGCTTTAGTGATACATGACAGTCAGTCAAACATTTATTTTCAAAATCAATTCAGTCAAACACCAAATAAAGACTCAATTTAACCCGTCACTGTTCTCAATGTGATGGCTAGTGTAAAAGTTGATACAATTGTCCATCTATGGCCTTTTACAGGTAGGATTTTCCTGCTATATGCTTGGAGTATGGCTTTCTAAAAATTGAAAGCTCATTAACGCTGACTGTACCATTCCAAAGTGCCAACTAGCAACAATTCAAAATAGATATTATCAAATTATTCAAAAACGAGTGTACATGGACACATCTTTTATTGTTTAACTCAAAATTCGAAAGATAAGATTTATAATGAATCCAATTTGAAAAGGTTTGAACAGGCTTATTTCAATAAACCTTTTCAAAATTAAACTGCAATCTGCTAACAGCAAATACATGCAATAATAACAATCAACAAGATCATAATAAATCATTTTGGTTTTTGAAAATCAATTAAAAGAAATCTGACCTGTTGATGTTGACTATGGTAATAAAAAGTGTTGTTATGCATCATAAAACGTTATAAAGATAACATATGGGAAATGGTTATGCTCTAATTTGAATGTCTGATATCCCTTGTGGCCAAATCTTATAGCTCATTAAAATGAACCAATTGATGTACACATCTGAACACATCTATGTTTTTGGAGCGAAGTATGCCAGGCAAATCTCATCAAAGCTCACAATGTGAGCAGCTGAATGGTTTCTTTCCAGTGTGGACTCTTATGTGAGTCTCTAAATTAATATTTAGTGCAAAAGTTTGCGTACAAAAGGTTTCTTTCCAGCATGGACTCTCGCGTGTTTCTGTAAATTACTATTTTGTGCAAACATATTTTGTACAAACTTAGCAGCTGAAACATTCCTATACTTGTCTTAATGCAAAGTCTTTTTTGAGAGTTTAAACCTGACTGGGATTCTCTCGCCTCCTTCCACTCAGCACTTTCATCTGTCTCAGATTCAGAAGAGCTCACTGTTGTCCCCAGTATCTGGCTGTAGACGTCTATCTGGATCTGAGCTCCTGGTTCTGATCCTCCACAGGCCTCTCCATCAGATTCTGTCTCCATGTGTTCAGTTTGTCTGTGATGACGCTGTGAGGATTCTCTTCGTCATCTTCACACTTCACAGACACAGGCATGAATGTGAAATTGGTGATATCAGCCTCCCCAGCCCTTGAAGTTGCTCTCCGTCCTGACTGCTCCAGGCTACCTCCTCTTTCTTAATGGGTGGGGTGTCTCTGAGTCCTTCTGTTCCAAACTAGAGTTCGACTCCTGCTGCTCAGGGGGAACCACTGCAGGAAACAGGAAATATACATTAAAAGAGAAATGTTGTTATTTATAACTAAATAGCTCAAAAACTGCCCATGTGTGAACGTGACGACGTCTTCTATCATTTGTGTGCTGTCCGATCATTGTATGCACATGATGCTAAGCTGAGCAGACTCTGTTGACGCAGTAAAGTATGCGATGAGTGTACTATTATATATTATATTAGGTTCAATCATTTCACCTTATATTATATATTCTTTATTATGGTATGTTTATACATTATAAACAGTACATGCTAAATTAGGTAAACAAAAACACAGTATCAGTAATGAATACATTTGTATTCATATAAAATATTCTGAATATTATTGAATTTCAACTTGTTTGCAGTCGTGCAAAAGTGTGTGTGATTATTAGGATGATTTCGTTTGGATTCTCAATTTCCAAATACATATATTAGCCTATATTCAGCAGCATCTCAAGTTGGATATATTCGTCCACTCATACTCTTGGTCTAGGCCTGTTCTTTGCAGAGCAGAACTGAGACAGACACACATCACCACAAATAACTTCTATCATTATAAATGAAAAAAAGAAAATGCTGAGTGCTGTGACGGTAACTGAGGCAAAAGAATAATAGCAGCTAGCTAACTGCTAAATGCTACAGAGAAAGTAGCATGGTGGTGGGCGCCATTTTTTGTATTTCTCGCTTACTTACTTTTGTCAGGGCAATGTGTATTTCTGCTGTTTTAGAACATGTGTTGTTTGATTGTCAAGTAGTGCTAAAACCAGCGGTGACCAAGTTGGTCTATCAGAGTTGATGGCACAGACTATTTACTGGTGGCTTTCATGTCGTTGGTGCTTTTTATGAGCATTATACACATAAAGATTATGGCTATTGACCTACATTATTAACCATTTGTTTGCTATGGAATTTTTATCTCACTGCATATATCTTTGTCTTGCAGGACACAAATGAGAGGCAGGGCAAGGCCAGTTTATTAATATAGCACCTGTCGCGGCTTCCTTCCTTGCTTTCTATCCAAGCCACTGACGGAACGTCCACACCCACACGGTTCCGTCGCGTTGAAGCTTGCCGGTGGGCGTGTCTGGTGCACGACTAACAACCAATCACAATAATCTCCCACCCCGGACACACAAGCACGCGGTTTGATTGGCTAGCGCTTGTACTGGCATATGATTTGATTGGCTTGTGCTTCCGTTGACGCTAGAAAAGTTGAACTTTTCTCAACTTTCGAAGCGAGCAATGGAGGCAAAGTGACGCGATGGAACCACAATGCAGTTCGGCAAAGCTTGACGTCACCCCATTCAAAGTGAATGGGAAGCGTCTCCGTTGAAGCACGCGAAACGATATGTCCACACGGCTCCGTTGCGTTGAAGCTTGCCGGTAGGCGTGTCTGGTGCGCGACCAACAACCAATCACATTAATCTCCCGCCCCGGACACACAAGCACACGGTTTGATTGGCTAGCGCTTGTACTGGCATATGATTTGATTGGATAGCTCTTCCGTCGACGCTTGAAAAGTTTAACTTTTCTCAACTTTCGAAGCGAGCAACGGAGGCAAAGCAACGAGACGGAACCACAATGCAGTTCGGCAAAGCTTGACGTCACCCCATTCAAAGTGAATGGGAAGCGTCTCCGTTGAAGCACGCGACGGAGCCGTGTGGACGTACCGTTAAACAGACATTTTGCGTTTTCCTTCCATAAGATTTGTTTTACGGCCCGTCCACACAGTGGCGTGCGTTGAAGCTTGCGTGTCTGAAACTAGACCAACAACCAATCACATGAATCTCCCGCCCCTGACACACAAGCAGCGATTTGATTGGCTAGAGCTTGTACTGGCATATGATTCGATTGGCTGAAGCTTCTGCCGAGGCTTCAAAAGTTGAACATTGCTCAAATTTTGCAGCGAGCCACAATGCAGTGGTGACGTTCAAAGTGAACGGAGTGGACGGGCCGTTACTCACGTTTGGATGACTTGCTTGGCCTCCAGTGATTTGTTGATATTGTGTTTTGCGTTTACTCAAAAATAAAAGAACAAACTTTTCACACATTCAACAAAGAAAAACAGGCCTTTACAATAGTCAAAACAAAAGAAGCAACTCAAATAAAATCATAAACAACTTAGGTGGTCTTTCTTTCTAGGCTTCGATAACTCAAACGGTAACTTAACAGTTACAAACTGTGCCTCGACGTCGTCTTTCCGACAGGTGTCCCATATACGTCTCAGAGGCTGGCGCCGTGGGAATTGTAGTCCTTTGCGTACTTGACTACAGACGTCACGATTAGGTGGCCCTTTTTATAAACAAAAATACTGGCTCCTTCAACACAAGCCAATTCAAAATGCTTTACAAAAATGAATGATATTAAGATCATTATTAAATAGTGGAGCGGAAACACATTATAAAATGGCATTTAAAAACGGTCATTTAAAAGCAAAGATATTAAAATAAACAGGAAGCGGAATGCTGCTTTGTTTGGTCTGCCACATTTCCGTCCAGTATCCACAAGACATGAAATATTCTTTTGAGTTTCTCCAGAGACTGTTGATGAAGTTCCAGCCAGACCAAGCCTCTGTTCGAGTACACGGGCTAAGCAACACACTCTTGAGGTACAAACTGTAACATATTAACGTTGTTTACTACCTCACTTTCTAATGCTGCACTAGAGCTCCATTTGGTGTGCAGTTTCCAAGAGTATTGTGTTCAAGAGTCCTTTAAACAGGACATATGCTGTTCATTTTCAGGTTCTTATAGTATATTGTGCCTCAACTGTGACTTATTTACATTGTGACATGTGTACATGTTCTGACATGTTTACATGCTTAAATGTTAATATGTTAGCTAAACAACCGTTTTTGTGAGTGTATTGGTGGCACAACAGGTTATTAATTTCCTTTTAAATATATCGGGAATGCGACATTCACAAAGCAAATCAAACATTTACAAGTGGACATGATATGTGAATTTGAGGTTCATATTTGTATTTTGTGCCTCTGCTGTGACATGTTTCTTCAAATGTCTTTATGTTTCTCATACAGCCTCTTTTCACTTCTTACATTGCAGATTCAAATTAATATACACAATATTATCAACAAATAAATTATGATATTATATTGTAGATTAAGATGAAACTTTGTTATTTTAAAATTTATATTTTCTGTTTGAGAGAGTATTTGACAATTGATAAAACAGCAAACCAACTTCAAAACATCAAGGAACATGCACAGACTTTAAAAGAGCTCTATATGAAACACAATTATCCTCTTGGTCATCATCTTTGTTTAAAACCTTTCATTTACTGCCCTCTAGTGGTGAAATACATCAAAATCATGTTTATGTCAAAGGCACAATTGCAGTACTGAACTTAAATACTGGAGTTTGGAAATATATTATAAATATATAATAAGTACTTCAAAGCAGTGCAATGGTGAAATCAAAACAAGAAATATACCCTTTCAGAAATCTCTTTAAACTTGTTTTCCCCACATTTTTATAAATGAAGAGTGAAGAGGTTTCACAATTTTTGTTCAATGTTGCTAGAATTGTCGTGCTTTACATTGCTCATTTAACACCTCAACAGTTCTTCAGCAAGTTTTATTTTACCACTGTTTAAAAACGTTTTTATGAGGCTGTTCTGATCATTGAAAACTGCTCCCGTCTGCCACACAGTGGGCAAAATAGATATTGCTATTCTGGGCATATAGTGTGCAACTGGGGTTAGAGGTGACATGCTTTCATTCATTTTTCATCAATGTTTTATTACTACATGTATCTAACCCATGAAACGTATATCATTATAGAAAGCCATAGTTATATCGAAAATATTTAATTTAAATATGATTGTTTAAGGAGGATACATGCTTCACCCTGTTCTCACATTTAAAACAAACCCACGTGGAAAAATAACAAAACAATATCAAAACAAACCTTTGTTGTGAAATAATGTGAAGATAGACAGGTGCAAAAAATGTGAAAAGTCTGGATGTGTTTTAATTACATGTATCAGAGAAAAGCACCTAAGTGAGGTAATTGAACTTTACTCTAGTATTTTGGTTTAATGTCACTTAATACTTCTACTCCACTAAAGCTAAATATTGTACTTTTATTTCCACTAAAATTATTTAACAGCTTTTAAGGTTGACATGTTTTGCATCCAATAAAAATGATTTTAAAGCATAATGTTGCATATAAACAACTGCTGTACATAACAAGCCTATAAACAAGAACAGCTAAAACATATGTGTTAATTAATTGATTGACAGAATGGCAAAAGGAAACTATCTTGATAATTGCCTTTTTTATTTGCCAACAGTGCACTTTCAGATTCACCAATGTGAGGAATTGCTGCTCCTTCCTGTAACTATTTAAACCTGTTTAATGTTTTCATTTATTCAAACAACTTTAAGGCCAATATATTTTTGCTTACACAGCAGTTCTCATCAGTCTCATATCTGTTTAAAACCAAACAATCAATCAATATTGGAGAAAACAGGCATTTCTTTGATAAAAATAGTTTAAACTCAGTTCCACCTCAACCAACTATACAGCAAAATCCTGTTTTTACATGAATGCATGAGTAATTATAATCCAATTTCATACTCCAAAGTTTCCTTTGATGGATGGACTGTTTGGACCGAAAAGGATTGCACTGAGAACATGTCTTCACAATGGGCCTGGGTCTTCAGAGGATCCCTGTGCTGTGGAGGACGTCCCTGCCTCGTTCCTGTGCCTGAGACCCTGTGTCCCTAAAGGACTTTAATTACACATGTTACTATAACTTGGGGGCGGCAGTAGCTCAGTCTGTACACACTTGGCTTGGAAACCGAAGGGTCATCGGTTCAAGTCCCGATCGGAGCCTTGTCCTTGAGCAAGGCACCAAACGTACTACTACTAACTACTGCTCCCCGGCGCCAGAACACGTGCAGCCTTTACATAGTTTGTACATACATATTTGTGTATACAGTGCAGGACTTTGACTTGCTACGGAGTATTTTCACAGTGTGATATTAGTTAATGCTCTGAACCCTTCCTCTTCCACTGCTGTCCACAGCTGAGGGACAGGTCCCCCTGTTTGTTGCACATTACCCAGGGGAGGTCGAGGTGTCAGACAGAGACAAATGTGGTCCCGCCTGGTTTTGTATTCAGCAGCATGTGTTGTCGGTTCTTCAGAGGCTAATTAACATAACAGGATCCCCAGTGATCCCACTCTGCTCTTCTGTCTATACACAGCTCCTGTTTCGCTTTACAGCCTGCACAGTGGGGCGCTTCCAACAAGATGCTGTTGTTTCACTCAACCCCAAAAGTAAACTGGACAGCGTGTGAGAAAGTGTCATTACGAGTGTGTGTCTTTCTCCAGGTCGAAACCATTAAAAAGGTCAGTTAAAGCATGTGTACTGAGTAATGTCCGGAAACCACACCCAAAATAAACGCTAAGATATCTACATCTTAGGATAGATATGCCCTTGTTCTAGAAATACAAAGGCCTACTGAACAAACAACTCAAGTTTATTTAAAGTATCATAACAAGAAAATTATAGTGGCTAATATGGTGGATATAAAAAACCAACAACATCACTAGATATTCTTGAAATGTTAAAACTTGTATTGAATGATTAAAATAAGCAGATTTGAGATGGTGTTTCCAAAGATCCGCGCTGCAAAGGTCTGGAGGTCCTTGAAGGATCCCTGGAGAATAACCCCGGACACTTGTGTAAACAACAACAACAACCTGACATTTCTTCTGTAGCAGCTGGAATCCTTGAAAAGTATTCAAGGATTAATAAAACACTTCCATGATTCACAAACCTATACTGGAAGTTCCCTTAGACTCTGGTTGAAACCTGGAAGCCCTTAAAGATTCCCTGCAACTCCTCAAGGATCCCCGGAGAGCATCAAAGCCCCCTGGAACTCTTTAAAAATGTCTGGAATCCCTTTAAGGATCCATAGACTTTCCAAGCGAACTGGAAGTCCCTCACAGACAACAGAAACCTTCTCAACCATACTTAAGCTCCCAGGATTCCATAAGGTCTCAGTGGAGCTTGTTTAAAATTATTTTGTACATCAATAAAAGTAATGATCCATTTTTCCTTTTGGATAAATATGATGATTCATTATTCCTGCATAATTAAGCATATTTCCTTAATTCCCTAATCCAATTATTTATTGGCCTGTAAAAAATGTCCTGTGAAGAAATGTCCAGGCCACCTGCAAACACCGTTACTATTGACAGAATCCTTTCCAGGAGGATCCTCATGGGTCCTGTCAGAGACTCCTGAAATGTCCTCAATATTTTATGAATGTCAATAATGCATAATCCATTCAAGGATCCATGGAAATCATTGAGAGCCCAACAGAGACCCCTGACACAGTAAGGCCTGGAACCCCTTTAGGGACCTCAGAACTCCTTAGAAGATCCATGCCTCTCCTTCAGGGACCCTGAACAAATCCAAAAGATCTAAAACACCTGGTATGAAAAAAGTAATTATAATGCCTGTAACCCTTGAAGGATAACTTGACGTTTCTCAACGACTGACAGACCTTTTAACAGACACTTTGTTCCAAAAAACACACTGAAACTAGTGAATTCTCAGGGATTTCCAGGATGCAGAGGTATTTTTTGCTTCCAAGGTTCCTGGCTATATTGCACCATGTTCAGGCCTTTGCAGGGGTATGGGGATCTCTCAGGAGTTTGAAGAAATCCTTGAATACATTCCAATATGTTTTTGAAGGGGAGCTTCCTAAAGGATTCCAGGCAATAATGAATATGAAACACCTTAAATAATCATAACCACCTTAACATCCCCTTAGGCCTCTTCTAAAATTCCCCAATACACTCTGACATGCCCCCCTGGGATACCTTCAAGGGACCATAGAAGATCCAAAACAGTTCCTGGAAACCCATTCAAGGGCCCCTGGCCCCACACGGCCATAATGATCCAGCGGACACAGACAACACATTCGTGTCGTCCACACTCCGTGGATCCTCCTGTCCCAGAGTCAGCCGGCTCTCAGCATCAAAGCATTCCTGATGTGGAAGCTGCAGCCCGGGGTGGCCGCTCGTAACCTCCACAATAAATTAAGACGAAGTGGCAAATAAAGCTGCACCTGCAGGCCTGACGTCTTCACCCCCAACACATGGAGGAACCATCAAGAGGCACTGTCCTCATCTGGACAAAGATGTGATAAAATCTAAGACAAAAGCACTATGTTTGCTAGTATATTAGTCCAAAATTACGTTTTTCATAAGACTGTAACATTCTTATTTTAATTACTGTATATTAACTATGTCAAGTTTTCTTTGTATGTATGACATTTACAACACGTGCAAATCCTTGGGTAACTAAAACGTAATAGTCTTTACCCCCTAATCCCACCAGGAGCGTCTGCGCTGCGTTGCGCTGCGTTGCGCTGCGTTGCGCTGCGTTGCGCTGCGGCTGCAGCGTTTTTAGCGATCGCGGCCACTCTAGTCAATGGGTGCTATTCCACCGGACCCGCTGCGTCGCGGCTCGAAGCGTCCCAGAAGCTCCTCGCCGCAAGGAATTTCTAAAATATATGAATCCTATTTTTGACGCGGCGCAGCGCAGCGCAGGCAGGAAGTGGAACGTTCATCCAACAACTGCGAGGCTGCACACACGACGCTCCGCTTCCGCAACGTTTTGAAACGCGCCTGGTGGGTTATGACGCAGGAGGAGGTCGCAGCGCGGCGCAGACGCTTCCGGTGGGATCAGAATTATGTATAAAGTCAATATAGAGATAGGCCATCAAATAACAAAAAAGCAACACAAGATTAAAGTAAAAAAATGTTTTTACAATTGATCACATGTCTTTAATATATAATAATGTTCGAACGAATTTCGTTTTTTTGCGATAAAAATCTATATTCAACAAATTGAAAGATATAAATGATTCATCCATAAAAAAAACTAACACATATGATTCATTTATTTTGTAACTAAAATTAATTTTGTGCCAAGTTAGTACTATTCAAACAGGACCAAATGGAGAACTACTCTTTTAAACTTACGACATTTTCCTTTAAGGCTCGCTTTGTTCGTTAGTTTCACAAGTGGCTGAACAAAAGGTCAACATTAGGTCCCACGCTACAGTAGCTGGATGTATTGTTCTGTTGTCAGTTCCCATGGAAGTCAGTTGGCACTGAGTACATGCTGCGATGTCTCTTTTTTGTTTTTGAGTCAGGCTTTCAGTCAGCAAACTGCAAACAAAAAGACAAACATAAGTTGTTCACATTCCTCTTTCAGATTTAGGAGTCACACCCAGACACGTAAAAAAGAGGCAAGCTATAACCTGAATACGACGGCCTATCACAAAAAAACAACACAATGTCACATTTTATTTTAACCTTTAAAAACAGTATTAAGACAACAGAAAACAACGAATTCCGTTAATTCAGGCGAAGAACGTGTACAAAATACACTTTTAAACGTTGGCTAATTTTAACGTTTTGTGCTTTTATTATTTTAATGTCGTCATTTTCATTGGATTTATTAAAACATTATGGATGCAGTGTGTTCTGCATTCAATGACACGGTAAATGCTTCAAGATGCGTGTTAAATTAAAGGGGTTTTATGATGTGGGATTGAGTGTTGAGATCAGTTGAAGTTTGTCCCTGTGGGTATATTTGAGGTAAAGTTTGAATTGTTGTGTGTGGGACTCTGCATGCTGACAAGGTGTTTTTCTTCTTCAGGTGTGATTGTTGTGAAAATATTCTAATCATTATCCTCAGTTAACCTACTTGTTGCTTGAAGACAGACTGTAACAACCTGCAGCTAACGTTATCAGCTGTCGATCTGCTCTGCTTGATGTGTCAGTGATATTTACACACATCACAGATCAGCAGGATACAATGTGCAACACCAGCTTAATACAGAAGAGATCGTGATGTGCGGCCCGCAGATAAACTGTTATAACCATATGGTAAAACATGTTTTCCAAAAAAAGCTACTAATAAGTATTTACTATTTCGTTTTTTGTTCTATTTGCACTGGATCTGATGCTAATAATCAACCATTTTGAGTTTTATTAAGGGGGACTGAACATAAATACACATATTTTATTGAAGTGAAATACACGAAGAACTGGTTAGAAAAGGGCACCGTAATTCTGTTTTCCCATCAATTTAAAAACATGGCCTAATTTACCTATTTTTAGGGTAAATTAGACAGCAGTGAGATTTTGTCCATTCATTATTTTAACATTATTGAACGCATACTCAATTTGATGTTAAATGTTTCTATGCTGGTGGTTACTTTATCTAGCAAATCAGAATAAAGCTAATGGTATACTTGATCAACACAAACTATAAATAAGTAACAAATCAGTGTCCTCCCCCGCAGTAAACTGAAAAAGTACACTTCCATTGTGATCTTCTCATCTATAAAAGAAAAGACAAAGAAACTATTGAGCGCATGCAGGGAATAACTGCTCGTAATTCTATTGGTGGGTTTGCGCTCGGAAGCAGCCAATCAGAGGCCAGAGAAGGCAGACTGAAGCGCTTCATAGGAGTGGCGCTATGAGTGTGTGCTTCAGAGGAAATGTGGAACTGTTCGGAGTACACACTCATACAACCACTCAATTAGCAGCTCATTACAAGCTTGTTGTGGAGTCGGGAGTGTGTGTGATTCATCACGTCGCTGCTTAACGACGTCATACTCTGCTGTAAAGAAGAACAACCCGGGACAAGATCGCTGAATCAACTTGATCAGGTAAACTGGACTACTTTATTGTCTTTTTATGCACCATTACAGAATAACATAACTCTAAAATGGCCAATTAAATCCAGGGATTTGACCATATTAATGCCAACCCATGCATAGACTGCGTGTTTGGACACCGAGAGGAGCGATGACCGAAGTGTGGTTAGAGTCAGACTATTAATGGTCTGATAGCCTACATTTTAATGTTAGTCTCTTGCTGTGACTTGTTTTTGGCTAAACGTTATTCAAATATGCTCACCGTTTTCTTAGATTTGTGAAGAAAATAAACGTGTATTATGGTTTAATATCTGCAGTATAATCTTAGCCCGAATCTCAGTAATCGTACTGTTATGTGTGCCTATCGACAACATAACGTTAAAGGTTTCGTGTGTTCACTTTTTCCTTTCTTATTTCTATTTATGCTACGTTTGGACAAATTAAGAAGTCAAACACTAGGCTATTGTTTTTTTTATATTATCGTTTTCTTTTGAGATAACCCCTTTTGTTTTAAGACATGTATAGCTCAGATGTAAAGTAGCCTAACACTACAAATAGCCTAACAAAACAATTTAAATCTAAATATTTAAAAGTTAGTTTAAACCATCATTAAAATAATGCAAGTTTGAGATGAATGTATAGGCCTAATGATATCGGTTATTATAGAGACATGGGAGTTTCCTCACATAATGATGTTGAGTGAATTTTACTCTGTGCCATTTCAACAGCCGTAATAATATAGCCTACAGTCTGATCATATTTAATATTTCTCTCCAGACATAAACTGGCTGTAGGCCTACACACAGACGGCGGAGGACTCGGGCAGTCATGTCAGACAACGCCGGTTGCGAGTTTGAAATCGACGTAGAGAGCCTGGAGACAGAGAGCGACGACCAGGCGGACTCCTGCAGCCGCCCCGGGTCGGCGCCGCTCGGAGAGGACGAAGCAGAGGGCGGGAAGGGCGACGACAAACCGGCCCCCAGCGGCATGGGGGAACAGAGGAAGCTCAGCCGGACGCCGAAGTGCGCCCGCTGCCGAAACCACGGCGTGGTGTCCTGCCTGAAGGGACACAAGCGCTTCTGCCGCTGGAGGGACTGCCAATGCGCCAACTGCCTGCTGGTGGTGGAGAGGCAGCGGGTGATGGCGGCGCAGGTGGCCCTGAGGAGGCAGCAAGCAACGGAGGTAGGCCCGGAGAGTGTGAGAGTGTATGGATATGTGTCGCACGGAGGAATGTGGTTCTTTACAATTCTGCAGAAACCTTGAAGTCTGTTACCTCCGTTAACGTGTGTAAAAAAAAGCAAAATATTAAATTCGACCCACATTAAACGTAATTTCCCTCCGTTAATACTGTTTTCCTGAAAGTACAGGCCTTGAATATGCCAATAACAAACACGATTAACAATACAACAAAACATCTAAAAAGACTCATACTTTAGTTTACGTCATAACGAGCCTTTAAGTTTATTCACCAATACCTCTCGGTCCTTTTTAAAATTAGCAACAATTTTCAAATCACGATCTTACAAGTCAGGGTCAATTACTCCCTTTTTATTATTGTTATTTATACACAAGTTATCTAGGCTATGTGTTTATGTTAAGACAGTTTTGTTGTCCCTCTGATTAGCCTATACCTTACATGTGACTTAATACTTAAACGTTAATAACAATTAGCCTAGGTAATTCGCTTAAAGTTATCTTCTTAATGTATATTACTTTAGTATTGGTCTTCCTATTCCAATCAAACAAATCTTTTATTTCCTTTTCTATTTATTTGATCTGCAGTGCCACCATTAATAATCATAGCAGTGTTGAAAAAACAGGCCTTTCTGGTTTTTCAACAGAAACCTTATTGTTCAGTGTTAAATGTCTTAATTTACAGTAATACATGGCTGACATGTTTTCCTTTCTTTGTTCAGCCACTCCAAAGTCACCAACAGCCTCTTAAAAATAATACAGTTTTGTTTGTCCACCCAAACTTGAACTTTCAATTTTAGAAGCAGATTTAGGTTTAGTTTGGTATTTAACTTTGGGGGTGTAGTGCAACATGGTTCAGCTGTGAATGTAGTTCTTTAGTGTTCTACCATTTCTTTTTGGCTGACTGAATGAACTGGAGTGTCAATCAGTGGTTCTCAAAATGGCTTCTCAGGAAGGCTTCTTACTGTTATGTTGTCCCAGCAAATGATATAGCTAAATGTCTCACTATCCCGCTATTTATTATACATTTAAGTTTTTACTTGTAAAAAAAACACATATCTTCCTTAATTATCTCCTAAAAGCAAAATCTGCTATACCTGCCAGTTAAATTCAGATATTTGAGAATGTCTGCCGTGAAGTAATGAACCACATAATGATTTTAAAGATATTGCAATCACGTTAGGTAAAACAACTGTCAAACCTGTCTGTGATTTATCTTATTTCTCATATGTATTTGACATTTTAATAATATTTAACATTAACGTTGTGGGTTGGCCTATTCCTCATGTTCAATTGTTAAACACAGTGATCCTGCTTTTATATCCCAAATGTATTTCACTAAGAAATACAAGAAAACAGTAACATGACCCATATTTGGACATGGACTTACTGTGACAAATCAGGCATTTTTAAAGGATCAAGGAAAACATCCTGACAGCAGGTCTTTAATGTTGTGTTTTCTCTATTTATCAGGATAAGAAAGGAATATCTGGGAAACACATTCCAGCAGAGAGGAGGACGATATATCAGCGACATATTCGACCGTCCACCATGCTCGCCAAAAGCATCCTCGAAGGTAAATAAGGCAACAAATCTGACAAATAGAATCATGTTTTAGGTCTTCCTGATCCTTTTTTATGTTTCTCTTGGCTCATCCTCTGTCCCTGTTTAACCCTGATAAAACCTCAATTTATCCTGTGGCTTGTCTTTGGATTTTTTCTTTTCCACAAACAACTCCGAAAGAGTGATATGGACTTGTTAACATGCAAGCAGAGACTTCATAACGTTTTTCCACTTGAGTTCACTAAAGGTCATTTCCAGCACTGCTACAACATGCAAATAGGATTTCATTATTGAGCGTGATTTATATTTTTGATATATTTTTTTGTTGCATTTTTGTCAGTGTGAACATTCCTACATGCATCTGCTTTAATCCAACAAATCACATGCTTGAATTAAATGTGGGTTATTTTCATGGCAGGATACCGTCCGGTGCAGTGTGATCCATACATGCCAGCCGGCCCGTCCCTCCCCCCGCCGCTCAGCGATCGCATGAGGAAGAGGAGGGCCTTCGCCGACAAGGAGCTGGAATCCATCATGCTGGAGCGGGAGTACAAAGAGCGAGAGTTGCTGGAGAACAGCCAGGCAGCCTCGCTCATCTTCCCTAACAGCATGGCCCACCACACCGCAGAGTACAACTACAAGACAGCTTACTCGTCCGCAGGTCAGGAGGAACCCCAGCCCAAAGAGCTGTGCAACTTCCTGGGCCCTAACTGCCTGGATCTGTCCATGCAGTACCCCGCCGGCTCCGCCAACGTGGAGCTCATCGCCTCCAACGTCAGCGTAGCCACCACCTATCGCCACTACCCGCTGCAGCCCTCGCGAGGGGGCTTCATGATGTGGCCCCGTGGTGCAGCCAACCTTGGCGATGCCCTGCTCTACCAGCAGTGCCTCTTCAATGCCACGGCGGTGCAGAACATGAAGCCAGGTGCAATGTGGGAGCCCAAGGTGATGCCTGACGAGAGCCATCCGTCAGAGCAGGAGGCTGCGGCTGCTCTCGCCGCTAAAGTGGAAGGATCCCGAGCAGCTGCGGCGCAGGACTCAGCAGACCCTCAGCGGGCTGATCCCAAAGCCCCCGGTGTCACGCAGAGGGAGTGCTCAGCCTTCTCTCCACCCAATAGGAGCTTCGGACAGTCCTTCCCCAACAACTCTCATTCCCAAAACTCCAGCCAAGTCCTGAACAAGCTGAGCAAGGACAACGCTAACATTTCTGTGAAACTCAACTCCTTTCACTCGCTCATCCAGCACTCGCTGAGTGAGAAAAGCGGCGGCGGTGCCGGGCTGGAGCTCAGGGCTCCATACTGCAAAGAGCTCTTAGAGGAGGCTGCCCGAAAATTCAGGGAGGGCTCCGCCAAAGACATTCAGGCTGTGAAAATCAGCAACAGGTACGCTAAAGACTTTCTGTCCAAGCCTGTGGGGACCAAGATGGCGTCCAGTGAGTCTTTGTCCTTCTCTGTGGAGGCCATACTGAAGAGACCCGCGCCTGCCATGAGTCGAGCATTCCATTAATTTCCCCTTTCCTTGCACTATAATCGTCAGGTTTGTCTCAGCTAGAGGGTCAAGCTAAATCCTGAACCCCGGCACTGCATTGGAAACTAGACCAGCTAGAACATATTTGTTTTCCCTAATGTAATATTTATGTACAGTATATTATATTTTACATGTGCATGTTTTAATAACTTTATGTATTATTTAAACATTATCCCAACGTTTTCCCCATGTCAATAAACTTTGAAAGATTGAACTCTTCCCATTAAAAGTCTTGTATTTCATTCTATGCTATGGGTTGTGACATGTTTAACTGTGAACAGGTTTTTGTTTCAGTCAGAAGTTAGTCTACACCCACTGTTAAATCACTGCCGTTTTTATTCACCTAACCCTAACCCACCAAACGGCAGGTATTAATAAAAAAATGGAATTGATCAAAATCAATGTTTTATCATTTATCCATAAAATAAATTAATAAACTTATTTCTCTTTTGTAATTTAGAGTTTCTCTGGCAGGACAATAAGGCAGCCAAACCTTTTTATATTTTATTTTTTAAATAATACATTTTTCATATTTTTTGTAAGATTTACAAAATAAGTCACATTCACATGTGTGTTGTTGAAGTGTTATTATAGGTATTACCAATCTAAATCCAACGACAGCAAACAAATGACCTATACTGTTGATCATTAAAAAATCTAATAAAATAAAAATAAATGAATATCTTTGTTGACAAAAATGTAATTTGACATTACACATTTATTGTCGACTGAAACTATAAGATTCTCCAGAAGTGAGGGGCTCATTTAACATTTCGGGGCTTATTTGACTGAAACCATTATGTTTAAATCTGACATATTTTCTATGAAATATAGAGGAATTATTTTATAAACATCAACAAAAAGAGCATCAGAGTTATGTTTTAAATAAATTGACTTGGATTTAATTTCAGTATCCTTCACTAATCCTCGTTTCCCATTATAGGATTATTGCCCGACTATTTTCATGATATTGTGTATTTGCATAAAACACAGGTCACACAATCAAAACACACATGAAGCGTGGATGTGGACTAACATGATATCAGCCCATAAATCTGTTCAAGATGCATTTCTCCACTCATTCCTTTACACTTACGACTGTGTGTGTGTGTGTGTGTGTGTGTGTGTGTGTGTGTGTGTGTGTGTGTGTGTGTGTGTGTGTGTGTGTGTGTGTGTGTGTGTGTGTGTTTGCTGAAAGACAGCTTCGAACATGGGTTTCACATGAGCTGCAGAACACTGATGCGTTAGATAATGAACAAGACGAAAGAGTTTTCTTTTTTTTCAAACTCATTAATCTTTTCTTTCTGGCAACAACTTTCGAATTTCATCAGCCTCAATCCAACCCGAAGCACTTTAAAGCTTTATTTTCACATTATTTATTTTGAACTCCTTCTATTCTTAAGCCCACTGAGACATCTGATGTCAGGATGATATTGTGGATGTGTGATCGTTTCAAAGAGTGTCCTGTTGCTGCTGTAATTGGATTTGGGCTGATGATGACATTTTGTGTCACCAGAAAAAGATGACATCATTTTAAGTAGCCTGTGGAGCCACTTTTTTTTTGTTCAGTGTGAGAGAGGAGCGGTGGAAATACTCAGATCTATTAGCTAAGTAAAAGTAGTAAAGCCACAGTGAAAAAAAACTTTTGCTCTAAGCATTCAAATTCAAAGTGAAGTACAAAAGTATTAACATAAACGTACCAAACTACTGTGGCTCAGTCCTTGCTGCACTTTCCCTTCTATCTTTCTAATAAAGGCCAATCACTTTAATGTTGAAGCTGTTAAAAGTGGAGTATTATCTTACCCTATGATTTGACATCACAATTAATAAGTTGATAGGCTATATAAATTGTATTATTAACATGAACATGCAAAGTAGCAAGTTGTTAATTTTATCGTAAAACGTAAGTTATTCATTTTTATTTTTATAAATACAGCACTTGAGTGAAGCTTGGTCTTTTTCAATTTGTACTGTTTCTTTCCCATCTGTGCTTCCTTTTTGCCACTGGGTTATACTGTATGTGTAAATAACTTCAAAGTTGTATTTAGAGTAATACAAGTATTTTATGTACTTTCCACACCTTATTATTAGCGATATGGAAACTGTGTGTGTGTGTGTGAGTGTGTGTGTGTGTGTGTGTGTGTGTGTGTGTGTGTGTGTGTGTGACAGCAGTTGGCTGCTGAGCAGAAGGTGACAGTGTTTGTCTGCACTAACCGCCGCTGATAAGTATCTGCTGAAGTCCTTACTGAGGTCTCATTCCCAAAGTGTTAGATTTAACATGTCAGCAGAGTGAACTGGATTGTTGACTCCCCCCACCTCCTCCCCCCTCCCCTTCTCCCCCCTCCTCCACCATCCACTTATCAACAGTTGTAATTCACACAGTAGCATTTTTTCTGGGGTACGTGGGTGTCATTCACCTTTAAGAGACTTCAACGCTTTCTTTCATGCTGTGAGGTAGGGAAAAGAAAAACATGCAAACACATACACACACAAAAAACACACACCCACACACACACACCCACACACACACACACACACACACACACACACACACACACACACACACACACACACACACACCCACCCACCCACACACACACACACACACACACACACACACACACATACACACACACATACACACACACACACACACACACACACATACACACACACACACACACACACACATACACACATACACACACACACACACCCACACACACACACCCACACACACACACACACACATCACACACATACCACACACCACACACACCCACACACACACACACCCACTACACACCCACACACACACCCACACACACACGCACGCACACACACACACACACACCACACACACACACACACACACACACCCTGTGTCTCCTGTTTCAGGATTCCGAAAGAATCAGAGGTCACTGATAACACTAGATATATTATATATGGTTCAAACATGTCAGCTATATATATATTCTATGTTATGTTTATATATATATATATATATACAGTATATGGTCATCATATAAAGTACATGCTATATTATAGCCTACAGGCAAACACATGATCAATTATGAATACATTTGTATTCGTATCACAGATTATTCTGAATATTATTGATTTTCAACTTCTTTGCTGTTGTGCAAAAGTGTGTGGGATTATTAGGAGGATTTAATTTGGATTCTCCATTTCCAAATAGATACATATTACATTTCAGCATCTCAAGTTGGAACATCTTGTCAACTCATACTTTTGGTCTAGGCCTGTGTTTTGCATTTATTAGGCAAATGTCATGCGAACACGCTAAACTAAGATGGCCTGTGAGTGTGGTAAACAATACAGCTCAACATGTAGCATACCGACATTAGCATTTCGATCAAAACAAAGCTGTGACTAAGAGTAACACGCTTAACTAAGATGGCCAGTGTGGTAAACAATAAACATCAGCATGTTAGCATGCAGACATTAGCATATAGCATAAGGTAAAGCTGTGACTAAGTATTTCTTACACAGCTGCTACATGACTCTACAGCATGTCAATAAATTAACCCACGGACCTAACACCCACAATAAGTTTGACAGTCAATTTAATGTTTTGAGTTTTCGGTATAGAAGATACAAAAATGAAAAGGGTTGTTAAGCCACTTACTTTCCCTGCTAAAAAACAACAGCCCCATTCTTCTCATGCCCATATAGCATTTGGCTGCCCTGCTAGTGACCTGCTAGTGACTGTGGTTTATTGCTTTATCACAGCCCGAGTCATCTCAACATGTATTACACACACACACACACACTTACACACTTACACACACTTACACACACTTACACACTTACACACACTTACACACACACACTTACACACACACACTTACACACACACACACACACACACACACACACACACACACACACACACACACACACACACAACACACACACACACACCACACACACACACACACACACACACACACACACACACACACACACACACACACACACACACACACACACACACACACCCTTCTCCAGGTGTTGAAGCAAGCCAACCGTTCCACTGTTGCCGTTGTCACGCCAGTAACTCTGATACGCTACAATCCTTTGCACATTAAGAATCTATTAAGCACCACAAACTCAAACACACACGCTCAGAGAAAATCCCACGGTGGGTTATTTTGACTCTAGAAATAAATGGCACATGCTGTATTTTGCATTGGCGATCAGCGGCCGTGAAGAAAAAGGTATAGGATCTCTATTCATTTGTCTCTACCAGCAGCAGCAGGGAGAGGAACACCGGCCGCTTCCTGCATCCCCCCAGCACCTTGTAATCTAATAAGAAATGTGTAGCACTGCAGCTTTCTGACAAGTAGCTCCCACTTAATTACCATGTTTTCAGGGCTGACAGGCCTAGGGGCCGATAGGGGCAAAAAGGGTGGTGGTCGTTCATGGCTGAAAGAGGGTCTGGGAATATGCTGAAAATAAAGTCAAACACTTAAAATGCATGGACTGGAATGATTTAGCACACTGGAGTGTTACTTTGAGCATATTTGTTGTGAACCTAATAAACAAAAGTATGTTACAACATTTAGCTGAAAGTAGACTCGGAAGATAAAAGCATAGGAGGTATGCGTCTCCATGTTGTTCAGACAAGTGGAAAATGATTTTGTTTAATTTGTCCCCACACACTTGGGGTGAAGTTTGGCAGGGTTGACACCCCCACATGCCCTCATGTTTAAAATACACAGCAAAAGTACCCTCTTGCATGCCCCTATTGTAGATAAAACACGATCAAGTTCCCTACAATATGGCTTACGATAAAGCAAAAAAATATGCAGTGCCCTCTGAAGTGCCTTGGCAGTGTCTTTTAAGAGAAAATGTAATGCATTATTACTAATGGGTGCCCTTTAAATGGATAGACCATTCTTTCTGGTCTTCTTTTCCAGCACAAATGTGACTATTTGCTGCAGGTGCAAGCACTACAGCAAATCACCCTCAACATAACCCTAACCCTAACGCAATCAAGCAATTCAACGAAAATGTCTCGACAGCCTTTAGTGTATTGTGTATCAACCAGGCAGAAAAATCAGCATGCCGGATCTTCTTTTCTATGTGCTACAAGTTGCTAACCCTCTTTAGCCTGTCCGCCTATCCCTCGAGCCTCCATGGGAAGCAGTGGGCTATGAGGGTTTTTTTTAAGCCAACCGGCAGCTTTGACTTAT